TAATCACCCGGACCCGACTTCTCCATTGTAATTTTTCCATGCATAATTAGGTAGTAGTTCACTTTATTTGAATGATGTAATCCTTACAGAAATGTATTTAATAATTGATCTATATCCAGATCCTGTTCTTTGGGTATAATTTAATGAGTACGCAGGTGTTTCATACTAGGAGCATTATTATAAAAACAAATTAAAATGCTTTTGGGTAGCATATTCCAATAACATTGCTCAGTTTTATCAATATAAACAGGCAATTGAAGGCTAGAGGAGCTGAGCTGACAGTATAGCCGACTTCGAGATAATGCTTACCATTTGACTAATTTAGTGAATAACCCTAAAAGGGCTGAAATCATTGGAGGGCGTTTAGAAAGTGGAATTGTAGGATAAAGTTCGATAACCACAATGGAAACCGATGAAATGCTTCTGCAGACGGCTCCAATTTTAGAACACTGATCCACAATCTTTACACATAAGTTTCACTAAACAACAGATCTTTGAAAGACGAGACCGGAATGCGTGCATAGTGCGGATTACTCAAGGTGTTTGCGTATGAAAGCACAAGTGCCATACTGTGAGAAAAGGCAAGATAAGTGTATACTGTTAATGGGTTACTCCAACTACCATAACCACTATAGCCCGTTGTACGTTATTCAAATGCCGATCCTGACACTCATTCATTGGCTGTTAACAACAGCTGACCGCTCTCAGCAAATAAAATAAAAAAAATGATCTGTGCACTAGAGTATGCACAGACTTTATATTAGCCAGCCTGGAAATAGAGTGAATTATGCCCCAGCGGTGCTTCTGGAGGTGGAGTTACACCTCTAGCAGCAGAGGGGTTCAACTCCACATGTGCAGCATTTCATAGTAGTCCAGCCACTACAAAAACTTCAAATCAAGTGGTCATGGTGCTTGGAGTAACCCTTTTAATAAGAAGCTGGTGCAACCTTTACCCAAGGTTCTGCAAAAACTGCAAGTTCAGACATTCTTCTGGGATACACTGTTGTACACATGCAGATATGTTAATGACTAGAGACAAATTATCGTGACTTTTGAAATACCCTAGTATGAGGTGACCCACGTACAGGATGTGCATGTAAAAAGGATTGGCCACTTTTGCAGACACTTGCGTCTTATTGCATAAGAGTTTGGGCTCCATCAGCACCCTTAAGGGGAGCCATTTAAGATGCGTGGAGCATGGCTTTGCACATTATCGCATACTGCTGGTCATGCAGCAGAACAAAATGAATGCCCAAGTTTAAAAATACCTTTACAGGTATAGCTGAGTCACAAAAGGGTAGAAAAGAGCCATCACAGTGTCTGGTCCAGCGGGGTAGAAATGGATTAAGTAACTGTAGTGTCATTTATTTTACCACAGATTTGCACATATGTCATTTTTTTGTTCGTGTACTATTCACCTCACACAATCTTTAATTCCTGTTCTGCATTTGCCTCACTTTTTCCACTTGGCAGCTGATCCTCCATTGGATGGTGCTTAGTTTTACATATAAGTCTCTTGTAATGCTGACATTAGTGAGACATCATTAATAATTAAATAATTTCTTCCAGTATACTGTTTTCTGAATGCCCGTAAGAGTTTGGAACAACTGGGCAATTATCAAGATATTAGCAGCAAAAACAAAGTGCACAAAACAAGTCAGCAGAATGTTCTAAATACTTCAAGCTTGTGAAATTGAGGAGTCCCAGAGGCCTAGATTCATCTGTTCAGACTGAAGTATGGAACAGAGCCAAGAATACTCCCCTTTTCATATGTCAACTGATAGTTGCACCAGACGGTCGCCCATAACTGTACATTAGATATATATAATATTGTGTTTGTTTGCCTGTCTGTTTGCACAGTCATAAACATCACTGTATACACCCATACCATGCACAATATGGGGATATGACCATTTATATTCTGCAATGTAAGATATTCAACTAGTTTGACTTGAACAGAAAGACATGTTGTTTCAAATAATTAGCAGTACAAATTCCTGTATATAAATAACTGAAGATATCTATATATCTATAGATATATATAGTTTGACTTTAAGAATGGTCCAGGACAGGACTGCTACATAAACCTTTTTATATCAATCTTTTTTTTTTATTAATAGTTTTTTTCAATGTATAGCCTGTAAAAATTCAATTTTTTATATTTTCTGGTGTATGTTTGAATATATTTATTCTTGGTTTCTTGCTCCTGGTTTTCTCTCTTTGTCATACTTATCTGCTACCTTTTAAAAGTACCTTATTGTAAAACCTTTTACAATGTATTCAGCTCCTACAGATGGGCCCCAATTGCCCATCTGGATGATATATGCCACCAATATTTATGGCATATAATCTAAGTAGAGGAAAAAAGCTAGCAATTTTCACTGCAGACCAATAATACATATAATCTGCATCTGTAGTAATAGTGCATGTATCTATGCAAAGCAGTGAGCAAGATAATGAATATGTGTACGGATCTATGCGGTATGGGTGCGTTAGTGATGGGCATTGTACAAGGTTTGCCTTTAGTGTTAATAAGCAGTAAATGTACAGTTAGTATCAAAATGATATTCCGAGAGACCGTCAATGGAATTCCTGATGAGAATAGTGTTAAATAAGCTGCTAGTTTATTATTTGCCTCCTGGACCTTTCCCAGCACTAACATCTTGCTTGGTTCTCTGGATGCGATTAAATATTTCTTTAAAGAGTGCCTTGTATTCTGGTTGACTCTGTTCAAGCCTTCGGTCTACAGCTTCCAGTTGCATGGTCAGTACTCGCTCAGACTCTCCCTCCTCACCTGGTAGGTCTCGACTAGAGCTATCCCGAGACACGGGACGGGAGGTCTGTACTCCAGCATGACACAGATTGTCCTCATGTCTCCTGCACTTGGCCAGCAGCTCCTCATATCGCTCCAGCAGAGCATGATATTGCTCATCCACTTCGCGCAAGATAGACATGCCACGACGCCTTGTGTTGTTAGCATGTAGAGTGTAGTTGCCTTCGTGCCGACTTACAGCATCCCTACCTACAATGTCACTCAAGGCTGTGTCACTACAGCTTTTCCTGACAGCCGAGTTTGGGGGTGTATGGCTCCTGCTCATATCGACTCCTGACTCTTCACGAGGCTCTGGATCATCTGTTTCAGGGGTCTTGTTAAGAGGTTCTAGCAATGCCTGAGAAAGGCTGTCACCCCTTCCCAGCAGGTAGCGCTTCACCTGTAACCAAAAAAACAAACAAACAATAAATCAAAACACACACGCATAAATCTCCCCACTTCCCACCCACCCAGGCTCCCCCCAAAATATATAACAGGCTCCTCCAGCTGTTTGAGATTCTCACCCAATTACCTTTTCATTCCCCTAACATCTTACCAATAGCTGCTTCTCTGTTAACTCTTTCAGCCATCACCTCCAAACTTCCCCTGCTACCTCTTGTCTCAAATCCCCATGGTGTCCTTTAGATTGTAAGTTCACGGGCCATCTAGCCAATCACTTTGTATAAAAGAGCTCCAATGGCTAGATATCAGCTTATGGGCAGGGCTCTCTCTACCTCTTGTATTTGTCTGTGTATATTGTACGTTTCTCCACTAATTTTACAGCGCTGCGGAATCTGTTGGCACTTTATAAATAGCAGTAATAAATAAATAATAAAAGATAAAAAATACATTCACTACATATGGGGCAGTGGCTGTAAACTCCTTTCTGAAAAACAAAACAGAAAGGAGTGGCAGAAATAACTCGCCCATCCCACAAAGCAAACAGCATGGAATAATTCGGAAAGAAAATACAGTCTTGGATTTGTCTGGAGAAAGTGCTCAATATATAAAAAAATAATAAATAAATAAAAAACCAAACACACTCTCTCTCTCTCTCCAAAAGTAGCCAAACAGAAAGCACAGCTGCCTTAGAAAAGATTTACTGGTTCTGCTATTCTGACCTTAAATCTGAGAATCACTTTGAATTCTCACTTTAAGTAAATAAACCTAAAAGGCTCATTTTTCATTCCTTGTTTAAAATGTAGGCAAAACATGCTGTTTCCCAAAACCAACACTGATTACTTAATTTAGAAATTGTGCAGCACTGTAATAATCTAAAAATCATAAAATAATTCTTCAGTGTAAGAACAGAAGATTGTAACCAAAAGGAAATATTCTTCATCTTTCCAGCCTTGTGTTTAAGAGCTTTTCTGGGAAACTCCCACCCTACCTGAACACAATGCTTTCCCCAGCTTTTCCCACTTCCTATAAGCTCCGATCCAGTACCCACACTTTACCTAGTCTACCTCAATACAAAAAGAAAACAGCCCGATCCTCCTTCTCCTACAGAGCACCGCAATTGTGGAACGACCTCCCGCACAATTTAAAATCATCCCTAAGCCTAAAGTCCTTTAAGAGATCCCTCTCTACATACCTCAAAACCGAATGCACGTGTCATGGTTGATTATATATTTCCTACCTGTTCTATGTTAAATTTTGTATATATTATGTATTAATATTGTTTTTGTATTTTGTTGTACCTAATGTAACAATGCAATGATTTGTGGACCCAGGACATACTTGAAAACGAGAGAAATCTCAATGTATCTTTCCTGGTAAAATATTTTATAAATAAATAATTCACACTGTATACATTTTATCTGTGTTTCTTTCATCTTAGACTTGCAACAGATTCTGCACAGAAGGTACATAATGCAGATGTATTTTTCATATAACAGAATAAAGATGCAAAAGTACAAACATAAGGGAGCACTATTAAAGAAATATTCCAAGCAGAGTAACCACTACTCCTACCCGCCTAAATATGGCTGCTGTCATTTGAGGCTACTCTATCCTCCTATTCATTTTATTGACCTCCTTAATATGGCCATCGCGATTTTTGGCCACTTTATGACCTTCCTAATATGTCTGCCGCTATTTGTCCCACCCAATATGGCCACCAATACTCACGGCCAACCCTCCCCTTAAGTGCTATATTACACTTCAGACCTCCACAATATGGCCCACGATACTCGCGGCTAATTTATCCTTTTTCCTGCCGATCACCGGCACAAAGTGAGTAAATACACACCCTTCCTGTTACCGTTCGCACGGACTACATATCCCATGTAGCATTGAGACCTATGACACTTTCGCGTGACGTGACTAATTTTCCACTGCGATTTCCACTTGATTTAACCCTCGTTTTCATTATAATTTATTATATTTAGCCTCTATACTATGTAAAGAATGTTATTTAATACCTTTTATGTACTTTTAATACAGGGAGTGCAGAATTATTAGGCAAATGAGTATTTTGACCACATCATCCTCTTTATGCATGTTGTCTTACTCCAAGCTGTATAGGCTCGAAAGCCTACTACCAATTAAGCATATCAGGTGATGTGCATCTCTGTAATGAGAAGGGGTGTGGTCTAATGACATCAACACCCTATATCAGGTGTGCATAATTATTAGGCAACTTCCTTTCCTTTGGCAAAATGGGTCAAAAGAAGGACTTGACAGGCTCAGAAAAGTCAAAAATAGTGAGATATCTTGCAGAGGGATGCAGCACTCTTAAAATTGCAAAGCTTCTGAAGCGTGATCATCGAACAATCAAGCGTTTCATTCAAAATAGTCAACAGGGTCGCAAGAAGCGTGTGGAAAAACCAAGGCGCAAAATAACTGCCCATGAACTGAGAAAAGTCAAGCGTGCAGCTGCCACGATGCCACTTGCCACCAGTTTGGCCATATTTCAGAGCTGCAACATCACTGGAGTGCCCAAAAGCACAAGGTGTGCAATACTCAGAGACATGGCCAAGGTAAGAAAGGCTGAAAGACGACCACCACTGAACAAGACACACAAGCTGAAACGTCAAGACTGGGCCAAGAAATATCTCAAGACTGATTTTTCTAAGGTTTTATGGACTGATGAAATGAGAGTGAGTCTTGATGGGCCAGATGGATGGGCCCGTGGCTGGATTGGTAAAGGGCAGAGAGCTCCAGTCCGACTCAGACGCCAGCAAGGTGGAGGTGGAGTACTGGTTTGGGCTGGTATCATCAAAGATGAGCTTGTGGGGCCTTTTCGGGTTGAGGATGGAGTCAAGCTCAACTCCCAGTCCTACTGCCAGTTCCTGGAAGACACCTTCTTCAAGCAGTGGTACAGGAAGAAGTCTGCATCCTTCAAGAAAAACATGATTTTCATGCAGGACAATGCTCCATCACACGCGTCCAAGTACTCCACAGCGTGGCTGGCAAGAAAGGGTATAAAAGAAGAAAATCTAATGACATGGCCTCCTTGTTCACCTGATCTGAACCCCATTGAGAACCTGTGGTCCATCATCAAATGTGAGATTTACAAGGAGGGAAAACAGTACACCTCTCTGAACAGTGTCTGGGAGGCTGTGGTTGCTGCTGCACGCAATGTTGATGGTGAACAGATCAAAACACTGACAGAATCCATGGATGGCAGGCTTTTGAGTGTCCTTGCAAAGAAAGGTGGCTATATTGGTCACTGATTTGTTTTTGTTTTGTTTTTGAATGTCAGAAATGTATATTTGTGAATGTTGAGATGTTATATTGGTTTCACTGGTAATAATAAATAATTGAAATGGGTATATATTTGTTTTTTGTTAAGTTGCCTAATAATTATGCACAGTAATAGTCACCTGCACACACAGATATCCCCCTAACATAGCTAAAACTAAAAACAAACTAAAAACTACTTCCAAAAATATTCAGCTTTGATATTAATGAGTTTTTTGGGTTCATTGAGAACATGGTTGTTGTTCAATAATAAAATTAATCCTCAAAAATACAACTTGCCTAATAATTCTGCACTCCCTGTATGGTTATAATATGTTGAATTTCGATTGGAAAATGCTAATTTTGGTTCCAATTTTAAACACAGTTATCCCTATATATACACACACACACACCATTATAGCCAGGTTGAATGTTTTTTTATTCCATTTGAAAAAGCCTGCAAAGGTGAAACGCGTTATGGACATTTAATATTGTGTATTTTAACTTATTAAAGATTTTTTGGTTACCTTTTTGTGCCAATCATCTTTGTTATATGCACATTTCCAGGAATTTTTAAGTTTTATACTTCAAGTAATCCCAAGTAATACCACCAACGCTGAGTTCATAGAGCAGTTAGCCTGCTCTATCCTTGTAAGTATAATTTTACTTCCTTTTATTGGAGATGTGTTAAACTTTTTCCAATATGCTGCTAACTATGGAGTCTGTCTTTGTGTAAACGGTTACTTTAAAGGGTCACTCCAGGCACCCAGACCACTTCTGCCCATTGGAGTGGTCTGGGTGCCAACTTCCATTAACTACCCTTAACCCTGCAAGTGTTATTATTGCAATTTCTTAGAACACGAAAAGTGTTTTAAGCGACGCTGGACGTCCTCACGCTATGTGAGGACCTCCAGCGTCGCCGAAATCCCTATAGGAAAGCACTGAATAATACTTTCCTATGGGGAGGTCTAATGCGCGTTCACAGGCGCATTAAGTCTCCCTCGCCGGCTGACGTTGGCGGGGGAGGAGAATAGGCGGAGCCGAACCAAGCCCCGAAGTACATCGGCGCTGGTCTCTGGTAAGTCACTGAAGGGGTTTTAACCATATCAGCAACTTGGGATGGGGGGTGGGAGGGAGAGGGCCACTGTAGGGTCATGCAGTGCCAGGAAAACTAACATGTTTTCCTGGCACTGGAGAGTCCCTTTAACCCTGCAATTCTAATTATTGCAGTTATTGATAAACTGTAATAATTACCTTGCAGGGTTAACTACCAGACACCCTATAGAGGCACTTCCGGGTGGTTAGGCGACTTTTGGTCTCCTAACTGACACTGGACAGCCTTATGCTCTGCACGAGGACAGCCATCATCAGCTAAAACCTTATAGGAATCCATTGAGCAGTGCTTTCCTATGGGGTAGTCCTAAGCTAGCCACACATGCACATTAGAGGAGTGGAGATGGATCCTGACCCAGCACCGAGGACATCGGCGGTAAGTGACAGAAGGGTTTTTAACCCTTCCAGTGCCACGGGAAGAAGGGGGGCATTACAGGTCACTGTAGTGCCAGGAATACAACTTTGTTTTCTTAGCACTATAGTTTCCCTTAATGGATATAATTCTAAGGGGGATGCCTCATACACACAACATTATGGGAAGATGATGTGAAAGCATATTGGGAGTATCATAGAAAAAAAAAAGGATCTCTTCCTTTTAAATACACAAACTTGAGTTTTACCTGCTTCATTTGCTGTAGTTCCTGTAGTTCTGCTTCCAGTTCTTGTACACGTAACCTGCAGTTTTCCATCTCACAAACTCTTTGTTCGAGCTCAGAATATTCCTGCACCACCGATTGATATTCCCGTTCTGCCTTTTCTTTTCGCTGACGTTCTTCAGCCACTAAAGCCCGAAGTGAGGCCACGGCACTATGCAGACGCTCGTTTTCTCTCTGTAATGGCTTAGGGGATAAGTCCAAACAAGAACCATGCATGTAGAGTGTATCTTCATTCCTGTACACAGGACAAGAGGATGGCAGTTATGTACACAAACTTATACTTATCCCCTTAAGGACACATGACGGAAATATTCCATCATGATTCCCTTTTATTTCTGAAATTGTGTCCTTAAGGGGTTAAAACACATGTATAAAAAGATAAACATCATCTGTCATAGAAAAAAATAAAATAAAAATTATTTTCATAATGTCACTCTAAACTTACATTGCTTCAATCTGTTTCTCCTCCTTAATATTTTTTCAATATTTTTCTCCTAAAATACATAACGCAAAGTAGGGACTACTTTATCTTATGTATTTTATCTCCACTTGACAAACTTTGTCACTTAGTGACGGCTGGAGAAAATAAGGCATTGTCTCGCTCACTGCGAGACGATATCTATGGAGGATTGGAGGATTGAATGCTCCATAGACATTAGCACTGTCCTCTCGCACATGCCTGATGAAGCCCAAGGAGCTGAAGAGAGAAGATGGTGGTCTCCATGGGGGAGAGCATCAAGTTAGTATATCTAACCTCTGTTGCCTACGTGGGCCATAGCACAGCAAGCAGTGATGTCACCATCAGGGTTTTTTGCAAAATATGCAAATACCCCAGAAGGTGATAGAGCTGCTTTAAGTATTTCACAATTTGCCAATCAGTAGAACATGTCTGAGGTCTCTGATATCTCCATATTGAGTGAATGTTATTACAGACTTGGTACAGAAACGGTGTACATTGAATCTGAACTATGGCTTCCTCATTTGTCACCAAAGACCCCTACACTAACCTGGGATTGGCGCACAGCTCCCGTATGCAGGGAAAGGTGTGGATAGTGCGACGCCTTTCTCTCTTTTCCCTCCTCACTCGAACCTGATCTTGACTGCGCAGTTCTTCCACTTGTTTCTGCAGATCCTCCACCTGTTTCTGCAAGCCATCTATAGTACCTGTGAGACTAACAGACAGAGACATATTCATTATTTGGCTTTCACCAACATCCCCACGTGTTATTTTCAGTTATTTCTATAATTCTACATTTCGCTAATACTTGTTTATCCACCTTCTTGTTTTATCCCCCAACAAGCTTTCTCACTTTCGCTCTCCTTATTTACTCCAGTTATTCCCCTTTCTTCCACTCCCTTGTCTCTAACCTTGTTATCTTGTGCTGGGCCACTTTGCTCTCCTGTACCAGCCTTAGGTTAGTCACTTCCAAATCTCTTGCTATTGTATCCAACTGCTCATAGACCTTGGCGTGCTGTTCATTTACTTGGCGTAGCATCTCCAGCTGTTTGCTCAGGTACTTTAAAGACAGGAAGGGAAGAAACCATTTTTGTAAAACCAGGGCACAAACCAGCATATAGCCTTTAATTGCAGACACACTGTAAACGTGACATACTCACAAGTTATCATTGCTGTATCATTGATACAAATATATAAGTTAGACCTGAATATCTATGTGTTAAAGGATATGTAATATTAGAATGTAAATGGACTTTATATAAAATAGCTGAGAAAAGTAAAAAATGTGTAAATATTTGGGATACGTTTGTTTATTTGGCTGCTGTGCAAAGTCTTACATTTTAATAAACACATGTAATGAACACTTCAGAACTAACTATTTTAAAATCAGTTCTTATATTCTAATAGCAGGGCTTACAATTTTAGGCCCTGAGCTATTTGCCAGACCTAAAAACAAGTGTGAGAGTCTCACACTGCACGGGACTACCTGTCTGTACCGAATGACTAATTGAATCAGCTAATTAACCGCCTATGTACAGTGATAATGTAAAAAATACCGGTCAGGGGATAATCGACCGACAAAGCGTATCAGTTTATACCTGTATGTTACATATCTTACTGCAATGTCTGCAAATTTTTCTGCAAATACTGTTGAATGATTGTAAATGTTAATTCAAAACCAAATAAAAATTAATAAATAATTTTAAAAAAAAGTATGAGGAAACAATAATTTGGTATTGAATCATATTATTAGAGCTGCTATATTAGTCCACTAATCTAGATGCATAATATTAAAGCATTGCCGATTCTTGTAATACCTTTTTTATTGGACTAATGGAAATTTGCAGTGATTAGATTTCTCCCTTTACCTCTTGTCTCAAATCCGCATTGCATCCTTTAGATTGTAAGCTCATGGACCATCTGGCTAAGCACCTTGTATAAAAGAGCTCCAATGACTAGTTATCAGCTTACGGGCAGGGCTCTCTCGACCTCTTGTATTTTTCTCTTGACCTCGTGTATATTGTACGTTCTCCACTAATTGTACAGCGCTGCAGAATATGTTGGCACTTTATAAATACCAGTAATAAATAAATAAGTCTAAAGCATGCTTTAAAAAAAAAAAAACGATAAAGGGAGGAACTCCTGAAAGCTAAATAAATACAAATTCCGGTTAGTCCAAAAAAAAAAAGGCATTACAAGGACCTGCAATACTTCATTATTTAGCAATTTGTTTTGATTCATGGCATGTCTTTAGCATGGAGCGTACGTGTGCTGTGAAAGTAGGAGTATATCTGTACTGAGAGTCAGTATGTGAAAGTGGGTATGTGTGTGCCATGTCAGTGACACGTGTGTGTGTGTGGAATGTAAGTGTGTGTATATGCAGTGGTGTATATGTGGAGTGTAACTGTGTGTGGATGCAGGTCTGTGTGTGAATTTATATAAAAAGTCTGTGTGTGAATGCAGTCATGTATTTGTATGAAGTCTCAGTGCATGCATAAATGTGTCAGGAGAGATATATTTTGTGTGAAAGGCCACAGTGTGTTTGTGTGTGTATATATGTGCTAATACATGTGTTTAATTTGAGTATTCCCAAATGATATCCTTTCTTATTACTCTTACCAGCACCTTGCAGGTGGTTTCGGTGTTTAAAGCTAGAGCTTTGGTCAAATGGCCTTTCAGCACGAGAAAAATGTAATAAAACATTTAAGCTCCTAAGCTTCCATTAGCTCTCCTGAGCTAAGCCCTGCGGTGCTGTGCTTAGCTCATTGGCTGACTGCGATCAGATAATGCTTAGGAACTTCCAGTTCTACAGCATTAGTAGTGGACTCAGAGTGCGGCTATGGCAGACCCCACATGAGGTCAACTGTTCAAAAACTTTTTGACTATTTACAATGTGAAGGGTAGCCAGTGGAAAAAATAAAAAAAAATAAAACACTACAGCAAGCTGTAGAACTTATGATACTTGGATAGTTTTTTTTTTCCCGGCCAGCCCAGGGATCAAATAAGCAAGTAAAATTTTGAGCCCAGTTAATGAAAAAAAAAAAAAACACAAAATGAACAGATGTATATGAAACAATTGGAACTCCTTGTGTGCTAAAAATACAGGAGCAATAATATAATAAAATGTACATTTGAAAACCTCTTCGTGAATATATCATGTGGAATCATTATAGAGTAAAAGATCGTGAAGATAAAATTTCTACTGTCACAATACCTCAATCTCCTGCACCTGATCTTCATTGGTAAGGTACATCTGCTGCAATGAAACCTCCAATTCCTTATTTCGCTCTAAAAGCGTCTTTCCCAGTTCTGCTGCCAGGTGCAGATCTGTTAGAAACAAGAACACAGCAAATTTATCATGTGTTCCTTATTGTTCTGAGAAACACAGACTGCTTTTGAACTAGCTCCGTCCTACTTACATATACAGTTTTTAATAAGAAAAAATGCAATCTATTATACAAAATCTTATTTTTACTGGCCGCCCCTTTAAATGGTGTAAAGGCCCCTTTAAAAACAAAGCCTTTTTTTTTGTACGTCTGTGTATTGTATAAATGAGGGGAGTCTTCAGTATGGCGCTGACCAACTTTTCTTAAATAGACAAGTATTGCATTATAAACCATGTGCAGAGAAAACATATATCAAAATAATGGCAGTGGGCTCTCACCAAACCAGGAAGTGGCTCAGTCAATGCCAATTGTTATAGCTTACTGTGGGACTTAGTTGTGGCAGCTGACATTTAATGTGGATACACATAAAGGAGTTTAAGTTAAGCATGCGTGGGATAGGCATAAGGCTATCCTAACTATAAGATAAGGCCAGGGACTAATGAAAGTATTTAGAAAATTGGGCAGACTAGATGGGTCGAATGGTTCTTATCTGCCATCACATTCTATGTTTCTATAAGTGCAAGATAATGCATCTTGGACCTAAAAACCCAAGGGCAGAGTACAGAATATTTGTTAGAGTCCTAACCTCAACATCTGAGGAAAGGGATTTAAGGATGATTATTTCTGATGACTTAAAGGTAGGCAGACAATGTAATAGAGCAGCAGGAAATGCTAGCAGAATACTTGGTTGTATAGCGAGAGGTATTAGCAGTAGAAAGAGGGAAGTGCTCATGCCATTGTAAAGAACACTGGTGAGACCTCACTTGGAGTATTGTATGCAGTACTGGAGACCATATCTCCAGAAGGATATTGATACTTTGGAGAGAGTTCAGAGAAGGGCTACTAAACTGGTTCATGGATTGCAGGATAAAAAAAAAAATAAAAAAAAACTTACGAGGAAAGGTTAAAGGATCTTAATTTGTATAGCTGGAGGAGAGACCGGGGGGATATGATAGAAACATTTAAATACATAAAGGGAATCAACACAGTAAAGGAGGAGACTATATTTAAAAGAAGAAAAACTACCACAACAAGAGGACAGAGGTGCAAAGGTTTAAAAATAATATCAGGAAGTATTACTTTACTGAGAGGGTAGTGGATGCATGGAATAGCCTTCCAGCTAAAGTGGTAGGAGGTTAACACAGTAAAGGAGTTTAAGCATGCGTGGGATAGGCATAAGGCTATCCTAACTATAAGATAAGGCCAGGGACTAATGAAAGTATTTAGAAAACTAGACTAGATGGGCCGAATGGTTCTTATCTGCCGTCACATTCTATGTTTCTATGACTTCTGGCCTATCCCATAAAGTCTTGCTCATCAACACCAAAGTTTATGACCACAACAAGGCTTTAAATGGGAGTTGAAAGCCAAACCAATAGTTTTAGACCAAAATCTGTAATGCATTTAAATTATAATCACAAAAATGCAAGAAAAGCCAGAAGTAGGTTATTATATTTATAGTCCTTTGTAAAGTACGCTTATTGCAGCCTGTGCAGCTTCCAGTAAAAAGCAGATATCCAAATTACAGTTTACACATACTCCTTTTTTTAAATCCAAGATTTGGCGAGATCAAACATGATCCCCACAGTTCAAGTACTTAAAATTACAGCCATGCATCACCTGTATATAGTTTTTTTTCAAACCAAAGCATGGACTATGATCCCTTTATATATATATATATTCCCTTTAACACAGTAGCCTCATCTTGTGCTTGGGTGGTGTTAGGAGATTTAAAACAGTGATGTCAGGGCGGAGCCTGACTGTGGAGCCAAGCGGACGCACCTTGTGTGAGCTCCCGAGCCTGAATCAGTTAATCGCCCTTATTCACGGGAAAATCACTCCATCCCAGTCCCCAATCTACAGCGCCTTGCTTTGCAGCCATCGATGAATCAGAGGATGCCTCACACCATAGGTGTGCGCACAGGGTGTGCCTGGGCACACCCTAATCCCTGCGGCACGCCTATGGATTGAGACAACAGGGGAGATCTCATGATCTCCCCTGTCGGCTCATGCAGAGCCGGCGCTATCTGAGTGCCGGCTCTGCTCTAAGCCTCCATAGGCCGGTGGGGAGATCAAAGATCTACCTCACCGGTCCACAGCAGCATGAAGGGAGGCAGGAGAGGACCGGGGGAGCTCTAGCCAGCAGCTCCGCCGAGTTCCTCTCGCAAGGTCGGAGCATTAGCGCGGCAACGCTCAGATCTTGCGAGAGTGAACTCTAGCCCCACAGGCTAGAGTTCACTCTCCACTGGACCATAAGGGATGGCACATGGCAGCAAGGATCCTCCCTCCCTACATAAGGTAAGAAGGGAGGTGGAATATTTACTAATCTGCTCCCACCTCCAATCCCTCCAAACATACAGCACACACATACAGCACCCTCACACACACACATCACACTAACAGCACCCTCACAAACACACGACACCCACACACAGCACAGTAACAGAACCCTAACAAACACACACACACACACACACTACCAGCATCCTCACACACAGCACACTAACAGCACCCTCACAAACACACACACACAAACACCCTCACCCACATACCACACATCACACTAACAGCACCCTTACACACACACAGCAGTGTATGTATGTGTGTTTGTATGTGTATATATATATATATATATATATATATATATACATACATACACACACACACACACACACACATACATATACACGAGGCGTGTTTGTGCTTTAGGGTGCACACCCTAATGCAACAGACTGCGCACGCCTATGCCTCACACGACCATACCAACCGTGGGATCGCCTGATCTGAGGCTTGAGGCCTACACTGTGCAGAACAGAGGAGAGGCGGCTGCTCTCCCAGCCCTTTAACGCAAACAGCATCCATGGTACACAGCAACCCCCCCTCTGGACCGGTGGGGGTTATCCCAGTCCCCACCGCTCAGTTACACCTACCCAAGTTGACCGCAAACACTGGCACTAGCCCTGATCGTGTACAGATCCTGCCCGCCGTGGACCACTCCAAAATGGTGGACGTGCAACCCATGGGATCCATGTGCCTCTGGAAAGCCACTACAGCGCAACAGAGTATCTAAGCACACACTTAAACAAACTGTTTAATAGCTTCTGGGCACGGATTGAAGCTCGGCATACTGCAGCACAGGTTCAGTTGCAAGAGAACTGGAGTAAAGGGGGATGCCAGAGAGGCCGCAGCCTGAGAGGGCATGGGACACCCTCGGGCACAATCTTGACAATACACGAAAATCACCAGGTTTTCCCATCTAGGCCAAAGGCTATCTGGTGCACAGCCCCCAACGCATCTTCTACGCAGGCGGAGGCCAACTCGCCACAGGTTAATCCTGCTTCCCTCCCTACACTAAGCACATTATATTACTCTACCACTGTACATCTAACATGCAAATCTTATAACCTACCTTCCATCTTACCTAGTACGGTGTTAGCCTCACTCTCCTACTGAACTTAACAAATGTTCTGATTAACCTGTTAACTACCACGCATTACTATATAAAATAGCCTGTTACATCTTGTAAAAATTCTTGTCTACCTTAACTTAACAAAAATGAGACGGATTGTTCGAGGGTTGATATGTCATCTACACAATTGTAATACAGTGATGTCAAGGACCTGTAAGTGGTTCTGTGCTCTACTTAAGTGATTTTGAAACCAAAATAGTGATTCTTTATTATTTATTTTGCAGTTAATGTGGGTGTCCTTCTATTCACTCTGTGACTGGCACTAGAGAAACAGGAGATACATACACATACTGAATAAATTTTCCAGAGCTTCTGAGTCACTTGTACAGACACAAAGCTTTCTCTGTGACATCCCTGATGTCAAACGTTGCCGTGTGACATGACAGAGCTAAGCTGCAAGATCTACTGGTAAGATATTCATAGAAGGGTTTTGTAATTTCCTGTTCGTGAATTTTATTTGCAAAATGTTATGTCACACATACTACGTTTCCAATTGCATAGATATAATGCCTCAGATGCAATTCTTAAAGGGAAACTGTCACATTCTAGGATATTTAATATTATGTTCATTTATCCATTACATTTACCAAACCTGCGTTTGTGAGGCATGAGATATAAAATTAAATGTAAACATCAACACCTATTTTTTCTGCAACAGAGTGCCTCCATCTAAGGATTACTCTTACCCTTTTACACTGAAATAAATCAAATGAAGCAATAACTTAACTGTAGTCCTACGTTGGACGAAGATCCCGACACAAATTTCCACTCCCTGTCTGATGTCAGGGCAGCCATCGCGAGGTCCAAATCACAGGCTTCACAGCCTTTGATTGGACTGTTTAGCCACCTCAGTGCGCATGCGCACACTCAGAGCCAGTAAAGGTAGGAGATGGCGAGAAGATTTTTTGTTTGTTTGTTGTTTTTTTTTCTGACGGAGGATATAGGGAGACAGGAGGGCAATCGAATTACATTTGTTGCCAGCGCTCTGACGGTAGGATGTATTTTAAGTACAGAACTGACATTTGGCAATGCAGGGTCATATGTGCCGCAGATGCAACAAACCCCCAGCACACATGACAATATATTTCTCTAAATGTGCTGTGTTTCAAAAAGAAACATATACAGAATCCTACCAATATGACCACTTCTATAAGCAGACGTGGTCATAGTAGGTGTATAACCCTGTAAGCTCTGTCTCTTGCACCTTGCAGCCGCCATAGAGAAAGCATACAGAGAAGAGGATACCTGAAACTATGGGGATTATGTATAATGAGAATTCCGGGGCAGAGATTATAAAGTGGAGCATTCAGCAGGGACCGTGCATTGATTTTCATGGCTTCTACTACACTTTTAGAAGAATTCACCAGGATTACTCCTACAGTATTATTCATTAAAGTGAGATTTCAAAGTAGCCGAACCCGTAGCGTAGCTGATTTAGCATTTTTCAAGTTTGATCGAAAGTTTAAAATTCACTTTACATGCACATTGATTTCTTACTTTATTGAATATCCTTAACAGTGTTTATCTTACTCCTCATTAGTAATACGTGTCCTGGCTGTGCTTGGACATAAAGGAACACTATAGTCACCCAAACAACTTTAGCATAATGAAGCAATTTTGGTGTATTGATCATGCCCCTGCAGTCTCACTGCTGAATTTTCCAACATTTAGGAATTAAATCACTTTGTTTATGTAGCCATAGTAACACCTCCCTGCATTTGACGTACACAGCTCTCCCAAACACTTCCTGTAAAGAGTTATCTTATATTTCCTTTATTGCAAATTCTGTTTAATTAAGATTTTCTTATCCCCTGCTATGTGAATAGCTTGCTGGACCCTGCAGGAGCCTCCTGTGCGTGATTAAAGTTCAATTTACAGAGCAGGATTAAAAAAGTTTTAAAGGACGTATCATCTAAATGAAAATAGGCTGTGGGAGGTGTGGCAGGGGTTACATGAACAGAAACAAAAAAGAGATTTAACTCCTAAATAGCAGTGATTTGAGCAATGAGACTTTAAAATCATGATCTATACATTAAAACTGCTTCTTTAAGCGAAAGTTGTTTTGGTGACCATCGTGTCCCTTTAACTTTGTTAAGGTCACTTACTTAATCTTCAATATACATTTGAAAGATAATGTAGTATCACGTAAAAAAGGTTAACACAAAATATGCGAATTTCAATATTTTATTCAATATTGGAATTTACAGAGTGACAGTTTCCCTTTAATAAACAAATGTGACATGAACCTCTTACATACACTTCATATTCTTGCACTATACCATCCATATGAAATTGTTCCTAATTTAAAATAAAAATTCAAATATAGTTCTGCATCACTCCTCAATTGTTTCAGTGTGAATATTGAAAAAGGATATTACACATAAGACCATTTTAAAAGTTGGGAAGCACCCATTGTCTACATATAGCATTAGCGGAAATGCAACACTGCAGTATTTTGTGACGATAAGAATGAGTCCTTGGCATGATGGGAGTGAAGATATTAATAGCACTCAGCCTCAGAGTACTGACTGACCATTAAATGAACCGAGCTCTAAACTGGCATCTGGCATCTACATGTGAGTGCGTGCATTGTCTGGGCACAATTGGAGGAGGTAATAAGATAGCGAGAGGGAGCCAAAAATGTTGGCAGGCAACCAGCATCTTAAGAAGTCAGACAATAATACAATAAGAGAATGCAAAGAAAACACCAGAAGAATTGTATTATGGTAAAAACTATTTTATGGGCTATTCATGGCTATCTTAACCATCACCACATGTAATATATATTTTAGATAATCTTTATTATTAACCCCTTAAGGACACACGACGTGTGACATGTCATGATTCCCTTTTATTCCAGAAGTTTGGTCCTTAAGGGGTTAAAGGAACACTATAGGGTCAGGAACAAACATGTATTCCTGACCCTATATTGTTGAAACAACCATTTAGGTACCCCCCACTTCACCCCTTTAAAAAAGGGTTAAAACTTACCATTTTTCCAGCGCCGTGCGGCTCGGGTGGCTACGGCTCCGCCTCTTTGGCTGACAATCAGAATGATTTTCCACATAGGGAAAGCATTGGATTGGCTGAGATCACCATGAAGGCAGGTGGGGCCAAATGCCAGCAAGGCCAATCAGCATCTCCCAATAGAGATGCACTAAAATCCATGCATCTCTAAGAGGAAAGTTCAGCGTCTGCATGCAGAGCGTGGAGACACTGAACGTCAGTGCTGCTCATTGTGCAGTACAGCCCCAGAAAGCACCTCCAGTTGCCATTTGAGAAGTGGCCACAATGAGCTGTAGTTGTTCTGGTGACTATAGTGTCCCTTTAATAGGAGCATACGAATATATATGCTACACAATTATGTTCAACTGTTCTATATAATTTACACCATCACAATAACACACAAAGAGTTTTTCACTAAACTGGGAATTGCCAATAAGGCAATAAGAAGACAGGGCTCATAATTTCCACTCGCCAATAGCCTTCAGAGAGTGATAATTTAGTCCTGGCAAGTATGCCATAGAGCTCCAGGCTTGCAGTGACCAGAAACTTTTAAGGCCTGTCTAAAAGAGTAGGACATGAAATAGTATGCCCTGTAAAAGGGAATTGTAAATTTTAATCAAAAGCAGCCAGACTGGAGAAAAAAAAAAAAAAATGACAGTTAATAACCGAATTAATAAATTTGTTGTTACTTTCAAGAGAGAGTTGGAATTATGTTATTCCTTGATAAGTGTTTTACGCCAAAAGGCCGTTGCTATTGTCATTAATAATCCAAATGGTTTACAGTTTATCCTCTCTTTTAACATAAATAATCCATATAATTCTTACTCAACAATATAGTATAATACAATTTTGGAATATTTTATATATACACTTCAGGCTCAAGATTTCCACTCGGCCGCTAACCATTTGCGAGTAAACCTTCTAAGCTTGCAGTGGAGAGTAACATTTAGGCCTGTCTAACTAGCAGCGTATATTTGGGCTGAATGAGACAAAGGGAGTGAAGGTCTAAATTTGTTCCTCACCTTGCTCAAGGTCCTGTTGATCATACCAAGGCTCGTCCTCCTCGCTATGAAACTCCTCCATCCTCCCTGCTCCCAGCATCTGGCCCAATGTCGGTGATGTTTCACGTACAGTCAAGGAAACGAAATGACCCTCTTTGGGGAGTGATGAGCTATGAGTTTACTCCAATACAAAATTTAAATATATAAATACACAGATTGTATATTTTTGGCAGTCTAGTACATTTTACTTAGAAATACAAATATTTTGTAGATACCTCCACCTACTACAGTGGCAAGAACAAATATGTGAACCCTTTGGAATTAGTTGGTTTTCTGCATGAATTGGTCTTAAATGTCATCTCATCTTCATCATCGGTACAAGTATAGACAAGCACAATGTGCTTAACCTTACAACACACAAACAGTTGTAATATTTCATGTCTTTATTGAACACATCTCATTAAACAGTCACAGTGCAGTTGAAACAGTAAGTAAACACTTGGATTTAATAGCTAGTTGATCTTCTTTTGGCAGCAATAACCTCAACCGATCGTTTTCGGTAGATGTGGATTAGACTCACGCAACGTTCAGGATATTTTAGACGACTCTTCCTTACAGAACTGCTTCATCTCAGGCATATTCTTAGGATCCCTGCTGTGAACAGCTCTCTTGAGGTCATTCCTCAGCATCTCTATGGGGTTACGGTCTGGGTTCTGACTGGCCCACTCCAATTTTCTTTCTTTGAAGCCATTCTGTAGTGGATTTACTTTGATTTTTAGGATCACCCAACTTCTACTGAGCTTCAGCTGGTGTACAGCCACCCTGATATTCTCCTGTAGGATATCTTGATAAACTTGGAAATTCATGACTCTTCAATGTTTTCTGTATAGTAGACTCAAACAGATATGTTACAATCATTTCTTCAAGTCTTTAGCGGTCACTCTAGGTTTCTTTTTACCTCATTGAGAATTTTGTAGTGTCCCCCTTTGAGTCATCTTGGCTGGAAGGCCAATTGTAGGTTGAGTAGCCATAGCCCTAGATTGTCTCCATTTATACACAATTTGTTTAACAGTGGACAGATGAACAATGAAGCTCTTTGAGGTAAACTTGTAACCTCATCTCAGCTTTATGCAACACAACAATTCTTGATTGCAGGTCTTCTGAGAGCTCTTTTTAACAAGGATGGTTCACATCAACAGATGCTTTTTGTGAATAACAAACACAAAATGTTTCCATGTTTTCATAAGTCAAAGTAGCTCTGACCCATACCTCCAATCTTGTTTCATTAATTGGGCACCAGGTTTGTCAATTTCCAGCACCTAATTAGCTTTTGATGAAGTCACTAGGCTAGATTTTCACATACTTTTCCAACCTATGCTGTAAATATTTGAATGATATATTCACAAAGTAAAAGAACAATGCAATAATGTGTGTGTTATTAGTTAAAACAGAATGCGTTTGTTGATTACTGTAACTTACATGATCATCAAACCGGATTTTAAGACAAATGTATACATAAATACCGTCATTTCTAAAGGGTTCACATAGATGCAAGTAGTATTCACTGTCCCCAGAACTCACACATATTGACTTACTTTCATTGATTGTTTCCTATATAGTCTACGGTCACTGACCCTTTGTAAAACCTACGCTGTCTCACTATTCTCACAGGTTATTTTATTAGTATAATTACATTAATTCCTTTCCTTGCTATCACTGTCAGCAGCTTCCAAATCTCTGGAACTGCTTGGCAGAAAGTCCTCTAAACACGTCACTGTCCATCGCAGCTAGAATGTATCAATATTACCAATATGTCATTCTTCCACTAGAATGCTAGCATGTACTATTATTGAATGCCTGTACTCCATATTCCCATATAAACCAGATACTTGGCCTTTATATTTGTCTTACTTCTTTTAGTTTGATCATATTAATAGAAGTCCCCTTCACATCGAATCTGACATTTCCCTGCCTTCTTTCTCATTGCCAGACATATAAACAACATTTGGATATTATTATATGCATGCGTCTCTTTTTTTAATTTTTTTTACTCTATACAGTATATTTAGAGTGTAAGCTAATTGAACAGGGCCCTCCACCTCTCTGTCCCTGTACGTCCAATTGTCTGGTTACAATTACATGTCTGTTCGTCCACCCATTGTACAGCGCTACGGAATCTGATGGCGCTATATAAATAATAAAATAATAATATAAAGTGGTATCAATCTACCTCTCACCTAATCACATGGGATACCCATCTCATATTTACTATCATGTTTTTTCTCCCCTCTGTTCTTGTACCCTGAGTGTATCTCTCTTGTAATATCCTGATGTTTTAATGTGCTTTCCATGACAGCCCTAAATGTATTATCCCCAATTGCCCCTGGTGACCACCCCCTGTGACACTAGGTAGGTCATTATTATTGTTATTATTAGGCCTATTGTTGTGTTGCAGTCCCTGGCTATGGCCCCTGTGTCTGGGCTCTCTCTTTGTAGCAGTGCCCCTGCTGGCCCATACCTGGCCGGCTATGCTCCCAGCTGTCCCTCGGTGGGCTCCGTTATGGCAGCTCCCTGTGCCAGACCCGGTCCCTCCAGCAATGTCCTCCTAGCATCCCGGTGCATCCCTGGGCTTGGACCGGCCAGGCTCCGCCCCCCTCATCCCAGCAGAATCCCGCGAGCGGCGCTCCCATTGGCTGCAGCTCAAACCTCCCACCCACATCAGCAGGATTTAACCCGAGGAGAGCCAGCCAGCCAGCACAGCCCCAGCTGTGACAGAACTACATGTCCCATGATGCTTGGCAATCCTACGGAATGGAAAGGCATCATGGGAGTTGTAGTTCTCAAAGGAGCTGAGGGTCCCTACTGTTTGAGTTTAACCCTAAAATTAACCAGATGCCAGCTTTATCTGTGTGTGCGCATTATATTGTTCTTATATACATTGACTTACCCTGCACATGTATGATCCCTGACAGAAGAATACATACATGCATTGACTGGGTGGTGGGCGTGGTTTGTTGATCCTGGGCGGGGCCTTCCCTGAGTGGGCGGGGCCACGTCGGATGAGTAGTCTCCTGGAGAAGGAGTTGTCGCAGGAGGGGCGGGGTCTCGTGTGATGGGCGTGTCCGGTGACGCTGGCAAGGCGGGGCCGCCCTGGGTGATTGACGGATCCGGTTTTCCAGCTGTTGTAGGCGGATTCGATCCGGGTCGGAACGGGACGATCGTTGCCGAGGGCAGCCGGAGCCTTGAGCTCGGTCCAGTACCGGCATGGGAAACACGGACACCAAGCTGAACTTCCGGAAAGCAGTGATCCAACTGACAACCAAGACACAGGTACCGGGGGGAGGGGCCGAGCCGGAGCCTGCACCTTTAAATCATGGACAGGGCTCCATATACACAGTGTGTGTGTGCTGGGCTCCATATACACAGTGTGTGTGTGCTGGGGCTCCATATACACAGTGTGTGTGTGCGGGCTCCATATACACAGTGTGTGTGCGGGGCTCCATATACACAGTGTGTGTGCAGGGCTCCATATACACAGTGTGTGCAGGCTCCATATACACAGTGTGTGCAGAGCTCCATATACACAGTGTGTGTGCGGGGCTCCATATACACAGTGTGTGTGTGCGGGGCTCCATATACACAGTGTGTGTGCGGGGCTCCATATACACAGTGTGTGT